TCACCACACTATTGTCTGTGTCCATGGGTTATGATTATGTACATATAAGTTCTTAGGTTAATCTCTCTCCAGCCACCCTCCCACCCCTGCCTTCCCTCTGAGATTTGTCAGTCTGTTCCATGCTTCTATGTCTCTGGATCTATTTTATTTATTGGTTTATTTTGTTTATTAGATTCCACATATGAGTAAGATCATGTGATACTTGTCTTTCTTGACTGGCTTCTTTCACTTAGCATAATTCTCTCCAGGTCCCACCATGCTGTCTCAAAAGAAAAGGGATCCTTCTTTTTTACAGTAGCATAGTATTCCATGAACTAATTGTTAGAGAAGATGCTTGATATTATTTCAATCTTCTTGAGCTTGTAGAGACTTGTTTTGTGTCCTAACATGTGGTCTATCTTTGAGAATGTCCNTAATTTCCTTCATAGTTTCCATTTCTTTTCTCATTCTGTTGAGCACCCTTACAATCAGTATTCTGAACTCTATCTCTTAGATTGTTTATCTCCATTTCATTTAGCTCTTCTTCTGAAAAATTCTTTTTTTCTTTCATTTGAGGCTTGTTTTTTGTCTCCCCATTTTGGCTGCCTGTTTNCATGTGCACTTGAAGAGAATGCATATTCTCCAGCTTTGGGATGAACTGTTCTATAAATGTCAATTAAATCCATCAGATTTGATGTGTAATTTTTTTTTTAAATATATCTTTATTGATTTCAGAGAGAGGAAAGGAGAGGGAGAGAGAGAGACAGAAACATCAATGATGAGAGAGTCATTGATCGAGCCCACAACCTGGGCATGTGCCCTGACCAGGAATGGAACCCGATCGCCTGGATCCTAGGTCGACGCTCAACTGCTGAGCCACGCCCGGCCGGGCTGATGTGTAATTAAGAGTCACTGTTTCCTTGTTGATTGTTTGTCTGGANTCCTCTGCTGTGGCTGGATGTGTTTGGACAAGACCAAGATGTGCACCAAGGTCTGCTTTTCCAAGCCCTGTGTCCAGAAGCAAATCAGGCAAAGACTCAAAGCACCCAGAGGCTGTTATTCAGTCACTTAATGAGCCTCAGGCTGTACAAACTTCACAGCATGGTGTGAGAGGTTTTCCAGCAGGTTGGGGCAATTGCTTTCCCCCCAGGCAAAAGCTACTTAGAAGGTAAATGGCTGCCTGAGAAAAATGCTCTCTGCTGTATGGGGGAATGACTCAGCACAGGAATCCAGATGGCTTCCCTCTGACCTTTACTCCCCTGACCCACCAATCCCAGACTCTCCTCACACAGCTCACGTCCACTCTGCCCTCTGCCCACTCTTTGCCAGAGCCCAAGGTGAGTGGCTGCCTCATATTCTCTTTTTTTGTTTCTTCTTTTTCTTGTCTAATTCTTTGGGTCTCTTGACTTTTAGTATTGTTTTGGTATTTTTCTTTCTTAATCTTTTTTGTTGTTGGTTTGGGTTTCTGTGTATGTGTGTTATTTTTGGTTTGGTCTTGTTTTGTTCTGTCAGCACCTGTATAACAGTTGGCACAATGTGGTTGGGGTTGAGCCTCACATTCAGCCAGCCTGAGGGCTTAGCATACCCACAAATGGGACAACAGCAATCAAAACCCAATTACAACAGGAGGACTGACATAACCCACACAAGAGACATTCCTAAAGCACCCAGCTCAGAAAACCTAGGAAACTATATCACTGGGTCCCACAAGACACCCATTACAGAAGGCCACCCCACCAAGACTGGGAATCATAACAGTCCTATTCAATATATAGAAACAAACACAAAGAAACAGCAAAAATGGGGAAAACAGGAAAAAAACAGGTCCAAATGAAAGAACAGGGAGAATCTCCAGAAAAAGAGCTAAATGAAATGGAGGAAAGAAATTTATCAGAGACAGAGTATAAGGTAATGGTTTTAAGAGTGCTCAGTAGCATGAAAAGGGACATGGAAATCATGAAAAATAAGTCAGAAATGAATAATGACATATCTGAAATAAAGAATACACTGGAAGGAATAACAGTAGGTTAGAAGAAACAGAGGACTGAGTCAGTGAACTAGGAGACAAGGTAGAAAAGAAAATCAATCAGAGCAGCAAAAACTAAAAATAATTTAAAAGCATGAGGATAGTTTAAGGGAAATTTGGGACAACATGAAGCATAACATCAGCATCATGGGGTAACAGAGGAAGGAGAAAGTGATCAAGGGATAGAGAACCTGTTTAAAGAAGTAATAACAGAAAACTTCCCTAATCTGGTGAGGGAAAAACTCACAGAAGTTCAGAAAGCACAGATTCCCAATCAAGATAAACCCAAAGAGACCCACAACAAGACACATCATAATTAAAATGACAAAGATTAAAAACAAAGAGAGAATCTTAAGGGCAGCAAAGAGAGACAGTCAGTTATCTACAAGGGAGTTCCCTTAAGGCTGTCAGCTGATTTCTCAACAGAAACAATATAAGTCAGAAGGGAATGGCATGAAGTATTCAAAGTAATGAAAAGCAAGGATCTGAAACCAAGGCTACTCTATCCAGCAAGGCTATTATTCAAAATTGAAGGTGAAATAAAGATCTTCCCATACAAAAAAAAAAAAAAAATGCTAAAGGAGTTTATTACCACCAAACCAGCATTGCAAAAAATGTTAAACAGACTGCTGTAATAAGAAGTAGAAAGAGAGAGAGAGAGGAACATAGACATAAAGAATAAAAATGACAATAGATAAGTACCTATTAGAAATAATCTTTAATGTAAATGGATTAAATGTTCTAATCATAGACATGGGGTAGTTTAATGGATAAGAAAACATCACCCATTTATATGCTGTCTACAAGAGAGCTGCCTCAGAACAAAAGACTTACAGAGGATGAAACTGAAGGAATGGGGAAAAAATACTCCATGAAAGTGAAAATGAAAAGCTGGGGGTAGCCAGGCGTGGCTCAGTGGTTGAGCGTCAACCTAGGATCCAGGCAATCGGGGTTCAATTCCCGGTCAGGACACATGCCCGGGTTGTCAGCTCGATCAATGACTCTCTCATCATTGATGTTTCTGTCTCTCTCTCTCTCCCTCTCCTTTCCTCTGTCTGAAATCAATAAAGATATATTTTTAAAAAAAGAAAAGCTGGGGTAGCAATACTCATATCTGACACAATAGACTTCAAAACAAAGACAATTACAAGAGACAAAGAAGGTCACCACATAATACTAAAGGGATCAATCCAACAAGAGACTATAACCCTGGAAAACATATGCACCCAATATAAGAGCACCTAAATATATTTTTAAAATACTCTTGGAGGACTTTAGGGAGAGAATGACAGAATTACAGTCATAGTAGGGAAATTTAACACCCCATTGATGTCACTGGATAGATCTTCCAGACAAAAAATTCAATAAGAAAACAGCAACCTTAAATGACACACTAGATCAGATGGATTTAATTGATATTTACAGAACATTTCATCCCAAAGCTGCAGAATATATATTCCTCTCAAGTACACATGGAACACTCTCAAAGATAGACCACATGTAAGGACACAAAATCAGTCTCTACAAGTTTGAGAAGATTGAAATCATATCAAGCATCTTCTCAGATCACAATGGAATGAAACTAGAAATCAACTACAATAAAACACTCAAAAACATGCAAAATACATGAGACTAAATAGCATGTTATTAAACAATGAATGGATAACCAATGAAATCAAGGAAGATACCAAAAACTTCCTTGAAACAAGTGAACACACAACAACCCCAAATCTATGGGAC